AAAGAAAGCAGGCTGAGCACAGGCCAGTTGAGCAAGCCAGTAAGTACTGCTCCTCTATGGTCTGTGCTCTAGGTTTCTACCCTGAGTTCCTGACTGATTTCCCTCAAAGATAGACTGTAACTTAAAAGTATAAGATGCAATAAACACTCTTCTCAAAGTTGGTTTTGGTCACAGATTTTTATCACAGCAACAGAAAGCTAAATAGGACACACAGTTTGGGTGCGGAGAAGAAGCAAACTTTTACAGGCTCCTGGTAAGAATGTCAGGTAGCATGATCCTTCCAGATGTTATCATGCATTACACACAGATAAGGCCTTACCTGCATTCCGCTCGACCTAACAAGTCTAATTCTAGGAACAAGCTGTCATTCTAAAGTATATAGTAGCAGGCTGGACATGATGGTGCACACCTTTAATCCCAGAACTCAGAAGACGGAGGCAGGCGGATCTCTGTGAGTTCAAGGCCAGCCTAGTCTCCATAGCGAGTTCCAGGCCAGCTAGGACTACTACAGGAAGACCCTGACTTAAAAACACCAAAAAAAAAAAAAAAAAAAAAAAAAAAAAAAAAAAAAAAAAACAAAAACAAAAAAAGAAAGTATATAGTAGCTAAGTGTGGTGGCATACACCTGTCAGCCTAGCACTCAGGAGGCTGGAGCAGGAAGATCATGAAGGCCAGCCCAGAATGAACACAGAGTTCCAGGCAGCCTAAACTACATGGTGAGACCCTATCTCACAAAACAAAACTAAACAAAGCAACCAAAAGCATGAACTGTAGAACTGAGGACGATCAACGGGCTTTACTTACCTGGTTTCTGTCGGCGTGGCCTTCTCTTCACTCGTGGACCCACTCCTTGTCCTTCCTTCCAACCCATTTTTCTTAGCAATTCAAAGCCAACAGATAATCTGGCAATATAGCAAAACATCAGCAATGAACCTCACTTTTAATAAGCAACTCCTGATCTAGCTCCCCTACCTGTCTTGACTGGGCTCATCCCTCCTCTAGAACACAATGACACAACCCTGGAGGCCAGCCACAATTGCCTGAGCTCAGGAGCACACCTGCACTAGGAAAGATCGATGCCCACCTCCTCAGGCCTTTGGAATGGGCCTAAAGGGACTCTAGGCAGTCCTTGTCAAGCAAGCCTGTGACCTAGGGATAGCAGGAAGGTCTGAAGCTAGCACATCAGGTCTTGTGCCCAGGGGCAGAAGACTACGTGAAAGAGAAGACAGAAGGCACGGGGCTGGAGAGATGGCTCAGCGGTTAAGAACACTGGTTGTTCCTGAAGAAGACCCGAGTTCGAATCCCAGCACCCACATGGCAGCTCACAACCGTCCGTAACTAACAACTGTCCCAGGGGATCCGACAGCTTCTTCTGACCTCCGAGGGCAATTCACGACATGGGTGCACTTACCTACATGTAGACAATACATGCATACACATAAAATAAAAATAATAAATTTTTAAAAAAATTTTTTAAAAAATAAAAAGAATCAGGCAGGGCAGAGCCCACAAGACCTGTGAGGGAGGTGAAGGAGGGAAGCCACCCCAGTTACCAACAGCCCTCCAGGCTACATAACCCCAGCAGCTAGTAACTGGGGCTCTGGAGCAATTCACACAGTGATAATGAGAGATCTTTGGGGTAAAACTCCTTCACTTACACTTCCAGTGGGAAACCATCTTGTACTTGTCATCAAACTATTCCTAAGTAAGACAACCATACATATGCAAAGCACAGGTGCCAGGAGCAGAACAAGGGGAATTAAATTCTCACTTTGCCGGTGTGATGAGGTCATCAAGCAGCATGGCTCCAGGAATAGGGGCTGCAGCAGCTGCCAGCTGCCTGGCCTTTTCCTGAAGTCTGTCTTTGGTTTTGGAAGCAAAATCATCTGTGGTAACAATTGCTTTAGGTGCTATCCCAAATTCACTAAGATCCTTCAGAGGAGAAAATGAAACAGGATTACTTCATTTGAAAAGTAGCCAAACATGGTATGTCACATAGTATTGTGTTGTTCCTTTAAACAAAACTGAAACTGCAAATTTAGCACAAGATCAGTAGAATGGCAGACCTCCCACACCGACGGAAGAGAGCTGAACACCTTTAATCTCAGCACTCAGGAGGCAGAGGCAGGCAGGTCTCCAGGACTTGGAGACCAGCCTGGTCTACATACCAAGTTCCAGGCCCACCAATGCTACATGGTAAGACGCTGTCTCAAAATAAAATAACAATATTTCAGGTCTGGGGCTGGGCATGGCTCAGTGGTAGAGCACTAGGGTAGCATGCATCAAGCCCAGAGTTTAACCCCAACACTGAAAATAATCAGTCAATCAATCAATCAACCAATCAATCAGAAAAACCCTTTGTGTGAACAGAACTTCATAAACTGGTCAAGGTGGCCCATGCCTGTAATCCCAGAAGCATCATCTGGTGTTGTCTATCAATTTCCTCTGAGATAAAAACCTTCCATTTTAGAGGGAAGTTCATTAAGACACAGGATGTTCTAAGGGGAGCTGAAACATTCCTCCTTAAACTGGGAAAGTATGACAGGAAGGCTTCAGGAAGTCCCTGAAACTGACCAGGTTCACTAGGCCCCTCCTTCCCAAGAATATATATAAACAGTAAGAACAGATAAGCTGAGCTACAGAAGAGACTCAGAGTACTAGTCACCGGAAGGGCTCACACTACTTAAGCTGCCTGAGAGAGACACTGGCCAGCCTGTTGAGCTGCCCGACTGTTTCCAGCTTTCATGAGCTGTTACCCTGCTGGAGTGGACTTTGGTGATGTGGCTGTTTTTAAATGATTTCTGCTCCTATAAATAACCCCAGTACAGATCATTGGTTTGCCAAGTTGAACTTTGGTGATAGCCTTACTTTGGTCTGTTGTTAACTCCCCTTTCTGGAGTAGACGTTTGTTCACATCTCCCTAAGGAACAGTGTCACGCAACGCTTGGACTACTTAGAGACACCCTGTTTCAAAGAAAAGAGGGGCAGGATGTGCTGGGAAGGTAGCTTAGTTGGTAAAGGGGGCTTGCCATGCGAGCACAAGGACCTGAATTCAGTCTCCAAAACCCACATTTAAAAAGCTGGGTGTAGCCGGGCATGGTGGCACACATCTTCAGTCCCAGCACTCAGAGGCAGAGGCAGGCGGTCTACATAGTGAGTTCCAGGACAGCTGGGGCTACATGGAGACCCTGTCTCAAAAAGACCAGAAAAAAAAAAAAAAAAGAAAAAAGAAAATTCTGTTTCTTATAGGTTATACCACCCCAAAAGAAGTAAAATGTGGTGTACATGCCTGTAACTCTAATACTCGAAAGGTTAAGGCAGGAGGGCCGCAAGTTAAGAGTCAGCCCAAGGCTACAAATCAAGACCCT